GTCCTGTTGTAGGAAATTGGCTCCAATTAAACACCATCCACGGGGTATGGCATGGATTGCAAAATGGAGCGGTCACCTTCCTTGTTCAAGATCGCTATTATCAGGAATAAATCTCTCATTTTAGCGCCACCAAAACAGCCCCAGACCATCACCTTTCCTCCACCATGCTTCACAGATGGCATCAAGCACTCCTCCAGCATCTATTCATCATTGTGTACAGCAGTTGGAGATCAGTGGTTAAGGAGCTGGTCTACTACTCAGAAGATCACAAGTTCAAACCCCAGAACTAACAAGCTGCCATTGTTGGGCCCTTGAACGAGGCCCTCAACTGCTCAGATGTTTAACTGAGATAAATTTAAGCCGCTCTGGTTAAGGGTGTCTGCCAAATACCATAAATATACTAATCACCTCCTAATTAGTTCTGTTAATGCATAACATAATTTTCCAATCTGTCTGTGTTCTCTGACCCATATTAATCTCTTCCTTTTATTGGGCAGTCTCAGAATTCTGGAGTCACCTCTTGATTGTTGATGTTGAAACCAGTGTTTTGTGGGTACCACTCAACGAAGCTGCCAGTTGAAGACCTGTGAGATGTCGGCTCTTCAAACTAGAGACCCTGTTTGTCCTCTTGCTCGGTTATGCATTGGGTTATCTATCTGGTTAGAGCCAGTTCTGGGCTGTTTTTTGAAGAGAATAATACACACCAATCAGTTTCTTGGCTTGTCACATGTTTGTCACATGGAATAGATTTCCTTTCTTAGAACAAGAATAAACTGACAAGTTTCAGAAGAGAGTTGTTTTTTTTTCCTTCTGCGCATTTTGAGTCTATAATCGAACCCACAAATGCTGATGCTCCAGATACTCAACTAACCTAAAGAAGGCTACTTTTATTGCTTCTTTAAACAGCACAATGGTTTTCAGCTGTGCTAACATAATCAAAGGGTTTTCTAATGATCAGTTTGCCTTTTAACATGATAAACCTGTATTGGCTACTGTATCATAATGTACTATTGGAACACAGGAGTGATTGTTGCTGACAATAACCGTCTTTATACCTATGTAGAAATTCAATTAAAAATCATCAGTTTCAATCATCAAAAAAAGCGTGCTTTTCTTTCAAAACCAATGGAATTTTTAATTGACCCCAAACTTTTGACCTGTAGTGTGTAGACACTATATACCGACCAGACATGCCATTAAAGCCACTAACAGCAGACGTGAATAACATAGATTATATCGTTACAATGGCATCTGTCAAGGGGTGGGATGTATTAGTCAGCAAGTGATCAGTCAGTTCTTGAAGTCGATGTGTTGGAAGCAGGAAAAATGGGCAAGCGTAAGGAGCTGAGTGACTCTGACAAGGGCAAATTGCGATGGCTAGACGACTTGGTCAGAGCGTCAAAAAATCCGGGGGTTTCCCATTGTACAGTGGTTAGTACCTACCAAAAGTTGTCTAAGTGAGCGTCCAAGTCTCACTGATGTGCGTGGATATCTACACAAAGGTGGTTTTAATGTTATGGCTGTTCAGAGTAAATACACGGTATTTAAATATTTGAATAATATAAATAAAACATATAAATTCAGAGGAAATACGTACTTTAAATACTAGCTATAAATCTCTATACTTTACTTCACTTTAAGGAGAATGGTTTCTACTCTCATTTATTCACGTTTCATTAATTTTTTAAAAAAGTCTTATGTGGTACGTATCACCACAAATACAGTATATCTGTTGCTATGTTTGGCATTTACAGTAGCTAGTCAGTCTGTATCTGTATGAAAGCTAAAGATTATATCAGCATCCAAGCTATTTTATTATTTTTAGAGGTATTTCCGTGCTATCTAACACTCAAGAGACTAGCTGAAGATAATCAGAGGTTGCTGGCATTAAGGATTTGTCTGTCTCAAGCTAGCTTTAGTTAGCTTGTTTCTTGGGTTTGTCAGGCAAAAGGTGCACTAATTTACCATCAGTTTTAAATGAAAAAGGGCAACTTCATCACATACTTTAAGTAAACATAACAGTTTTGTACTTTTGAACTTTAACTTGAGTAAAGAACGTGCAGTTTTACCTCACTTGAGTGTAGTTTTGTGCTTTAATGTAAAAATACATCATTTACAAAACCAGTTTCCTATGTACGGTGTCGGGAAAAGCTTGATAAACATGGTCATTACTGCACATTCATTTCCTCTGGCACGTACATGGACTGTTTCATAACAAACATCTCATCTTTGTTGAAACACCTGGGTGCTAATCTTAGCTACTTTTCGACTAATGGGTGCAGTGCATGATTAATGCGTTAATCATGTGTTTATGTTCTTGTGTGCGTGTGTATGTGTGTGTGTGTGTGTGTTAATGAATTGACCTCGTTGTTGCCTTACAAAGTGTTTATCTTTATTCACAATTGCGATCATTTTGTATAAAGTGCTCTAAATATCCTGTGTCTCCTCCTCCTTTCTTCACAGGTACATCGTCCTGGCAGTCGTCCCGGGGCATGTCTTTGTCTCCGGGTTGATTATGGAAGACCTCGTGCACTTTATTTCAACTCCTGCCCTGAGTTTAGCTGTCACAGTGGCCGATCCAGGCTCGTTTGCTAACCCGAGGTCGTTGATGTTGCACAATGAACCGAGGTGTGTGAGAGAACAGGCAGTAGCAGGAGCCAGGTACAGGCGCAGGCCAAGCCAAGGGGTCGCAAGGTCATAGAGGACGCGACTCACCCGTAGGTGCTTGTGGTTGGCAGAGGCTGCCAGAAAGGCGGAGCGACCACTGCACGCAATGCATGCTCAGACACTCTCCGGCTGTTTACCACCGGGGTGTTAGAAGAAACACACACACAATCACACACACACACATACACACACGCAAACACTCCCTCTTGCTTCATCACTAAGGCTGACACACACAGACATATACACAAATATCCCCTGTCATTAAAGCTCAGCCTATTTTTTTCTCTTCACTATTTAGGTCCTTAAGTACATTTTCATTCCCGTATGCTCTCCTTGTTACCGGAGCGATTGTGCCAAAACAAACCCCAAGCATAGCAGAAACACTTAAGGCACCTTAAATCAGGTCATAGTAGAAAAACAACTATGTTGAACCAGGTCATTTACTTGCTCTTATCCTTTGCTCTAGTTTCAACTGTGAACACGTTAATTAAAATCGCAATTAATCAGACGTAGCCCTGCTGCGAGACATTACACCGGCTGTTGGGAAAACTGATCCATAATCATTAACCCGGCTTCATGGGAATGTACAAATAATCTACCTCACCCTTTTGTGTCAGCTCTCACTTATTCCCCTTTAAATCCATCCAGGGGCCTGTCACATATCAAAATTAGCAATCCATCAAGGCAATTAGTCACCTTAGCCTTTTTTCGCTACGTGTAATGTATTGACTTGTGCTATTGTCAGGCCCGGGTAAGATAAACTTCTTATGTAAAGCAATAAAAGAACAATACGCTCCCCGTAACAGCAAACATATTGCAGACACGATTTAAGGAGGACACGCCTTACTTAGCATGCTCGTGTCAATCAGTCTGATGATAATCACGCCATAAGTGACAAGCATGCAGGCTAAATCTTTATAATCTGTTTTAAAACAATAATACTGGAAAACCTAAGAAAGAGTTACAACGAGCTAAATGCTAACCAATAAGCTTGAAGCTAATACTTGTGCTAATCTCTTTTCTTAATCTTAGAACTCAAATAATAAGGCCTTCAATCTTGCATGTAAGCTGTAGGCATATGATATCATAACTTTATACCAAAGCACCATGGAATTCTCGATGGATTCACAGTAGCGCAGTTTACATTAATGTGCTCGGTCAATTACGTCATTGTTGCTATAGTAACAAGCCTTTCACAGGGATAATTGTTGATATGGTGTGGGTTTCTGTCAGAAGATGTGTGGTAAACATTTATGGAAGGAGTCTCCAGTGACAGCGCTCCGGTGTAACCTTCAGAGGTGAAGCTGGAACTTTACTTTTCTGACGTCTTCAAGATAGAGGAGTTTACACTTTGCAGTCTCTCTGTAACAAAAGACAACAAAATGTTTTTGTTTTTTTGTTTTTATTAGCTCAACTTAACTTAACTAAGGGAAACAGAGAACAAAAAGGACAATTATAACTTCTATAATGTAACTTGTTTCGTGGACGTTCCACAAAATGACATGTAACTACTGCAAATGGATAAAACGTACAATGTGTCGTTCTGTAATTAATACAATATTGCAATCATGGGACGGTTGCTGTGGTGTAAGAGGAATAACACACTCCAGGGTATGCTGTTATAGGAAAGTAATCAACTTCACTTCTTCACACCAGCCTGCCGTTGATTAGTTTCCTACAACAGCACATCACTAAGTGTTTTATTCTCCTGTATTGTTCACTGCAGTGATGATACAAATACAACCGTAGTTTTCAGAAGCAGAGGAAGAAGATTGAAGAGAAGGGAGAAATGTAGGGTATATTAGAGGAAAAGAGAGAAGTATGATGGAGGGAGGAGCAAAGAGAGGGAGAACAAGAGGAGGCTGAGTGCTGAAAGCTCCTTCATGGCGTGAGACGAGAGACCAGCTGTGGAGAGGTGAGGAAAAAGTGCTGCTTGACTCATCTCAGCTGCGAAAACAATCACACACACACACACACACTCTATAGGAAGGTTTTGGCACATGCATGGCATCAGCTAAATTCTCAGCATATTCTCAACTAAATTCCGTTTTTTTGGCCCTCAATAATTATTATTGACTGGCTTGAATAATTCCTCTGAATAATCCTATGGCATGTGTGGTCTGACATTTTCTTCACTTTCTTTAGTCCTTACTTGCAGGCAGTCTCTGTTTACTGTTCGATGTGCATTCAAAGCTTTGTAGAAAGGAGCAGAGATCATTGTTGTACCGTTGATAAGTGTACGTAGCCAGTACACGTTAGTTTGCTTTGCTAATCTGCAACGAGGCTAATGAAAAGACAAGCATGTAACATTAAACAACGAATGTTCACATTAGTGCTAGGTAGCTCAGTGGTTAAGCCGTTTGAGTACTGCTCAGAAGGTTGTGTGTTCAAATCCCAGCATTGCCAAGCTGCCACTGCTGAGCCCTTGAGCAAGGCCCTTAACCCTCAACTGCTCAGTTGTATAAATGAGGAAAACATGTACGTTACTCTGGATAAGGTCATCTTCCAAGCATTAGAAATGTGATTGTAATTACAAATTATATGGATGAGACTTGTCACTTGCTATTGTGAACACGGGGTCAAATCCCTGGGGGTATTTTAGAAGGTACTAGGTGTAGACGTGCATAGGGTAGCACCTGAGGCTCGGCATTGTGATTCCAATACCATGCCAGTGTTTGTGTTGGAGCTTGATGGAGAGAGACAATGGATACAAATGCAAGAAAGGTAAAACACATTCATTCATCTTCAGTCAGTGTTTTATCCTGATTATGTCATGGTGGAGCTAGAGCACTGGTCACCAACCCACCGACATTTACCTTCCTGAAGACTTTTACTCCAAGCATAATCATGCCCACCTGGCCATCTTATCAATGCCTTAAGAAGTTCGTGTTCAACTAAAACAGGTGTGTTAGATGTTGATTGGAGATGAAACCTACAAGATGGTAGATCTCAAGGAACAGAGTTGGTGACCACTGATTTAGAGCCTATTCTGGGAACACTGGATAGCAATTGAGACAAATTGACCCTGAATGGGGTGCCAGTCCATTGCAGGACACCATACACATTTACACACTCATTCACACCTAGGGGAAATTTGCATAGTCAATCCACCTATTAGCGTAGTTGGTGATGTCACTTTGTAAAGAAACACTAATCTCCTTCGCACATACGCATTCAAGTCAACGTGTCCACCGTATTGATCCGGGCAAGATGACCTATAAACAAATACAAGTAAACAGAGGAGCTGTGGTAATTCTGGATGATAAGCACAATAATATTTACGTTTCTCTTAATGATTGAATTCATTTAATGAATTGGTTTATTAATTGGTTAAATTGGTTTATGATCTATGCCTGATGACTGGGTGAATGATTTTCTTATTTTACTCTTGATAGTTATTTATGTTTATCTTTAATTATCTTTTGGTCCACTGTATTTTAGCACTGATTAAACAGAGCCTTTATATTGATGACTGAATACCAAATACTCCTGATCTTGGTCATAGCTCATGCTCTGCTCCTGCTTTTGGACTTGACTGAGTCTTTGTTCCAGTTCTTGTCTCTACCTTGGTTCTGTGCCTTGTCTCAGTGTCCATATCTCACTGTCTGTAGCTCCTGCTTTGCTCCTGCTGTTGACCATGTCTCAGGCTCTGTTCCTACTCTTGGTCCTGTCTCGGTGTGTGCTTCTGCTGTTGGCCCTGGTCTATATCTGTTCCTGCTCCGGTTCCTGTCTCAGTCCCTGCTCTTGGTCCAGTCTCAGTCTCTGCACCTGCTCTTGATCCAGTCTCTTTATCTGCTCCCACACTTAACTCTTGATCCAGTCTTTGTATCTGCTCCCACACGTAACTCTGTCTTACTCTCTACATTTGTTCTTGGTCGAGTTTAAGCCCCTGCTCCTGCCTTTGGTCTAGCTTTCCCTTCTCTCCCTTTTTTATGACAATCCTGACTCAGGCCTTGCTGCAGAACCTGGTTACTCCTCTGGAATTTCCAGTCTCTGCACTCATTGCCTCTAGTTTAATTGTGACATTGACACCTAGTGTTTTGGAGGGTACAGTAACACTGTGGCCTGGGTCAGCTGGCTCTGTGATGAAAGCTTAATTTACAAGTGGCCTCAATCCTGCACAAGCTGCATTTGGTCCTTGATACTTATGAGTAATTGTGTCAGCTCTCATTTGTCATGGGAATAGAGGTATAGTTCTTTGTTTGTCAGCATTTTTCCAAATAATTTCCTGTGATTCAGAACATTGTGACCTTGTTTCTTGTTTTGCTGGTTTCCAGCTTCTATTTCCTTGTATCCCATTATTCTCATTTCCTTGTCTCCTGTTTTTCTAGTCCGTTTTCTAGCCACGTATATCTGGTTTTTACCTCTGCCAGGCGGTTACCTGTCATAGATAATGACCATAATTTGTGGTTAAACATAAATAACAAGTATTTTCATTTACACCATCACCTCTAGCTCCACTGAAATACAGACCTCGTGATGAAGCTATGACTACTCTTTTTTTTATTATTGTTCTTTATTAATTTTTTTTCCAAAAATCTAGCTGGTGCGAAAACTTAGGGATATCTACCTATTAGACTGTGTTGTTATTCTGATTGGTTTCAAAAACACATTTACAATTTATCTCAGAGCATGGCCTCAATCCGTTTGTTTGTTTGAGTAAGGCTGTTATACTGTAAATAATCTCATCGGATGTGTAGACGTCAACCATACTCCAATTGTGGCTGAAATATCAAATGTCGAATGACGTAATAGTCATATCTGAAAACTGTGTTTCCCAAAAATAACTCAACCTTGAATATTAATCCTCAGAGCCACTTTAACACTATATCCAGACAGAGACCCACTCTGGAATGCTTGCTTGGTGTACGATCTCAGGATTCTTCTATGAAGATCAGACCACATGTGAACGGACCTTGTTATTCAGTCAATATTTCAAATAAAATGGTTTCTGCATCGCAAGAACAAATTTTGGCAATTACCAGTTACTATCACATTAGAACATTAGGATCAAACAAACAAACAAAAAAAAACTCTGACACTTTTCCTAACCAGCCTTACCAGTTCCCAAGGTGTTTATATTTATCCCCATTAGTCAATAAGGTTTTTACTATCTTTGCAACACAATATCTGGAAGTACGGGTGCAGTCTTTATGTAATTAGCCAATCAGTTGTTCGTGTGAATGGGGTAGAAATGTTATTTGCTTAAATCACTTTTAACAATTAGCTGACTGACAGAGATGTTATTTTACCTTGAACCAACATGTAAGCCAAGATTAGTAAGACTAGGGTGGGGATTTCTATTAACTGCATACCTTCATTGCATTAGCTGTTTACAAAGCTAACCTCTTTTTGTTCCCAGGAAACAAGTCTTTGGAGGAATTTGGGTGACAGTTTAGTTCATTTTAAACTAATTTAGTTTAGTCGTTGACTCTTTGGGAGTAAGAAGAATAAAAATAAATAAAATAGAATGCTAATTTGATGTATTGTAACACGCCTTTCAGCATGTATCCAGCGTATTTGCGATGTTTTGTTATCTTTTTCAGTATTACTAATGTAACTGGGGTAAGTTGAGTGATTTTTGTCCGAATGATCGATGGATTGAAAGCATTCATCTGTTTTACACAAAGCCTGATGGCGAATTTACGGGACAATAGGAATGCAGTTTACTCAACTCCACTATTTAATATCTTTCATCCTTATAATCTCCAGCTATTTGCTGTCTATAATGCTTATACTAACAGAGGGCTTAACGCACACGCCATTGCTGGGTTAGAGGTGAAATATCACTAAATTCTTTGGAACTGCCCCTGGAGATATAAACATTAGTCACCAGCGTTTCGTTGTCAACAGACCGAATGCAGGTTTTTTTTTTTTTTTTCCCTTGCTAGGTCTTCATAGAACAGATCTTAGGTCTTAGGTAATCCGTTCATTCTCTAGTTTCCACAACAGGCAAGGGAACAAGGAGGTCTGGAGAGCTTGCGTGCAGTAGCACAGTAGGAGATATAGACATGGCACGTGAATAACAATGACCCGGCTGCTTGGAATTCCCTCAAACCAACCTATTTATCGCTTACAGCGAGTCTGAAAGTGAGAAATCCTTTCATTGCGTTTGTATTCATCCCCGAGTGTTAGGTTCATTCGGGTGTGGTCGCATGGTCTTTAGAGTGAAGTTTTGCCCACACATACCTCGGTATGCACCAGTAAAAAAAGGTTGTGGCCCATATCTGCTGATTTGTTTACACAGAAGTCTAACGTCAAAATAGTCTGTAACCAAGGGGACTTTTATTACAAAACCAATACGCTCAAAAGCCGCAGGACGAGACAGGTCCTTCAGCGGTGTAGCTGTCTGTTAACACTGCTTATGCCTAATCATTTAGCCCATTAAATATCCAACAGTGTAATGTACTGCCTGACAAGTAAAAGCTAATCGAGTATAACACTGTAAATGTTTGTCACTGACATCAGCAGGGAAAAGAAGAACTCCTTGAACTTCCAGTGACATGACGAACAGCAACAAAATCACATCCATTTCACCTGAGATTATACGTTTTTCATGTTTTTATGCAAATAATACTGTATGTGATCACGTGTGTGTGTGTGTGGGTGTGTGTGGGGGGGGGTGGGGGGGATCACATCTGAAAAATAAAACTGTGAAAATGAATATTTCCAAATGAATTCATTGTGCTAAAAAATGACACATGAAAAATTAACCCGCATACATAAAAATCTATTAAAAGTGTGAGATACGAGATATGAAATCAGAAATTTCGCAGTTTTGTACATTTTTTTCGGTCTTTCCACATGCAGTGCCTGTTATCCAATGATATTTTCTCAAGCGTTTTACTTTTCCACACATATTTTTAATATTAAATTCAAAGTTTAAAAGTGGAATAGTAATAATACTAATAATTGAATTGAATAGTGATGCTAACAATTAACAGTATTCACTAGTAATAGAACAGATTCACACTGACCTGTAGACAGTGAAGTGTCTACAAACCACAAAACTACACGATGAAGTGTAGTTGATGTGAATGTTTTTTTTTTCCTTTTAACTGATATCAGCACACGAAATGACATGACTTGAACTTTCAGTCACCTTCAGAATGAGATCTTCGTGAACTTCCAGTGAACTAAAGCATGTGTAAATAATAATAATAATAATAAAAGGTTTGGGTGTAAATGTAAATGTCATTTGATACTGGTCAATCTGGTGGAAGAGTGAGAAAAGAGAAATGAACCTCAATATCAGATTGGAACGGGATGGCATGCGTGTGTGGTAAAAAGGATTTGGCTAGTATGCTAAAGACATCCATGCCAAAACAAATCTGAAGCTACAGAACCGGTTTCAGCGTTACACCAGGTTCTCCTTTATGGGCTTGGTTGTGAGGGCAAAAGGTCATT